TCAGGGTAGGATGCTGCTGGCATCAGTGGGCGAAGTCCAGGGACGCTGCTGGACGCTGTTCAAGGTACAGGCCAGCCCCACAGCAGAGGGTCATCCGAATGTCAGTGGTGTGGGGGTTGAGAGACGCCATTCCGGAACACAAGCCCTGTAACAACAGGGCCTTTCTGTCAGGGGCCTTGCTCCGACCCCTGCAGCTAAGAGAGTGCCAGGCACAGAGCGGCTGCTCAGTAACTTCTGGATCGAGTGAGCAGTGAGTGTGTCGGCCACAGTCGCGACACAGCCTGCTCCTCTCTGCTAAGGCTCGCAGCAGGTGCGTCACCCGGGCCCCGTTTCACTGGCCTCTTCCCCCTACAGGTCGAGGCTTCTGGTCATCCGCTGTGCCCACCAGGTGGCCTCACTTCTCATCGCTCTCCTTCTTGCCCGCAGTGTCACCGTGTCCTCACCCAGCACCTTCGGGGTGTGGACGCCTGGTCCCCCCGTTCCTCGACGGACCCTGCCTCCTCACTGAGAGCCTGTCCCCTGCCCCGGTCACTCACGACCCCCTCATTCTACTTACTTACCGCACAGCTCTTACTATCACGCAGACGTCCCTGCTTTGCTCATTGGCGTTTTCTGCCTGTGCTGTCTCGGAGCCACCAGCACGATGCAGGGTCTGTCTCTGCTCCCCTCGGGGCCCCACAGCTGGCCAGAGGGCGGCACATGCAGACACTCAACAAACAACTGTTTGGTGATGAGATAAATAAGTGAACTGGCAGAACAACTTCTACCCGGATTGGGATCCCAGGACCCCCAGCGATGGCCTCCTGGACGTTCAGCATGATGCAAGGCAGCAGGGGTGGCCCCATTGGTAACAAGGGCGCCTGCAGAACTTGGAGGGCTGTCAGCCCCCTCCCTGGAATGGGACGGGGAGCGGCCCCTCGGGCAGGGCAGAGGGGTGGTGGGAGGGAGGGCAGCGAGGGGGCGGGAGGCCCGGATTTTGCAGTGGAAGGTTCCAGGCGGAGCACTCGCAGGCTGAGTGTTCCCAGGGCGACGTTGGCTCCACTCGCTCGTGGAAGGACTCTCAGTTCCATCACCCAAAGCAAGGCCCCCTGCTACCCTGCGACCCAAAGGCCTCGTATTTCCCTCGCACGCTCTCTGATCGCCCCCCATAGGCTGGTGTGTATTCCAGGGCCTGCAGATAAACCATTGGTTTTATGGGGTCAATCTTACTCCCACCAGGAAATAAAACAAACACACTGCATTGCATTTTGGGAAATCTGTCTCGTTCCATACATGGATGCCTCCCTCTGGCAGTCGAGGCCGTTCCCGGGCCAGGCGGCTCCTCATCCCTCTGGGACCCGCCCGCTGCCTCCACTGAGCACAGGCCTCTCCCGGCCGCACCGCGCCCAGTGTGCACGCCTCCTCGTCTGGCTTCACCCGCAGGACCAGCAGGCGGCGGGGCTGTGTGCGCTCAGCCTCACCCGCCCACCGAGAGAAGGGAACTTTGAACGGACAAGGAGCTTTCAGAAATCTGTAGGATGGAGCTCTCAAAAAAGCTATTATTGCAAGTCTCTTTGTGAAGGGAACCCCGAGACAGGTGAATGCAGAATGGCAGCTTTGTGGAGCCATGGTCTGCAGCCTGGGAGGTGGATGTGACGACAGCACACTCACCGACCTGGAAAGACACTTGTTTCATGTGCAACCGGAAGTGGCAGAGGAATTATGGGGAGGACTCTGGCAAATGCTGCCGGGACCCCACCCAGATCCCCTCAGCCTCCACGCTTCCTGGGCCTCTGACCTGACAGCTTCCAATGCAGCGCCTGCCTGCAGCCACTTCGCAGATGCACCAGGGGTGACATCCTCGTGGGAGCGAGTGGCCCTCGGGCAATGACTGACAGGGGCAGGTGGTAAGTGGTCTGGCTCCCTCATGGGATAACTCGCGGGCAGGTCGGACACTGTCCCCGGAGGCCCCAGCTGCCCACCATAGGAAACTTCTCACTCTGTCCACCCAGCTAATCCACCCTGGGATCAACTCCCAACTCAGTCACTGCCAGGCAGGACCTAGGGGTAAAGAAAGCAGGGGTTTGCAGCTGGAAGCTCACGGGGCCAAGGTCACACCCGTCATCTCCCTTGGCCACCCAGGACACGGGAAGGAGAAATGCCATTTGTGTTAGTTTACTATTGCTCCCCAAATGAACCACCACCAACTCCATAGCTGAAACAACCACCACTCGTTGACAGCTCGCTGCCCCCTCTGCAGGTCAGCAGTCAGACAGGATCTGGTCCTCTGCTCGGTCCCGCAAGGCCAAAGTCCAGGTCAGCAGGGCTGCCCTCTGTCCTGGAGGCTCTGGGGAGGAATCCGCTTCCAGGCTCGTTTGGGTTGCTGGTCAGATTCGGCTCCTTGTGGCTGTAGGACCGTGGTCCCCAGTCCCCGCTGGCTGACGGCCGGGGGCAGGTCTGTGCTCCTTGAGGCTGCCCGCATTCCTTCTCGTGCCTGCCACGTGGCCCCTCCAGCAACCGTGCTTCAAATCTGTCTTCCCATCCCCACATCTCTGAGTCCAGCCAGGGAAAGTTCTCTGCTTTTGAGGGCTCATGAGATTAAAGTGAGCCTAACTGAAAAATCCAGGATAATCCCCTGCCTTAAGGCCCATCACCTTGATCAGGTCGGCAGAGTCCCGTCTGCCATGGACCACACCACACTCACAGGTTCCAGGGGTGAGGGTGTGGGCATCTTTGGGGGGCCATTCTGCCCTCAGCATTGCTGTATCACAAACAAAAGCTGATGCAATTCCCAGTCTCCCTTCTCATCTCAAAGATTCTTTGTGGATTCTTTGCTCAGGGACTGTGCTGGTAGACCTGAGACAAAGGACATCAGGAGGCAGAGGAGTCAGGCCTGCATGGAATTGAAAGCAAAGATTTCCCTCCCTGACAAGAGCAAGGTGTGGGAGGAAAAGAGCCTGCCTTGTTCTCCTGCTTGGAAAGCTGTCATCTTAGGGATGCTTGACTTGGAAACGTGGCAGCCATTTTGCCACCATGAGACAGCACCAAGCACAGGGATGGCAGGCCAGGAGGAGGCCACTGCTGATGTTAAGGCATCAAACCAATCCTGGCACCATCTGTCTCCAGAAGACTGGTGAGATTACTAAATCCATAATTTAAGCTATGTTGACTGAGTGTTCTGTTCTTTGCTAACGAAAGCATTCCTAACAGATATGTGTAATGGTTGTGATAGTGATAGTGTTAGTTTTGGATTATTGTTCAGCAAATAGTGACTCCCCTCTCCTTCGCAGTATGGGCAGAATATCCCTCCCAACCCTGTTGACCATGGACTTGGCCATGTGACTTGCTTTGACCAGTGAACATCAGTGGATGTGAAACAAACAGTGGCCTTTAACATGTTGCCTGCTTCGGCTTGGCTCTTGTGCCCCAGTGATCTGACACGAGAAGAACATGCCTGTGATCAGCCGCTGCCCCCTCAGCCTGGGCCCCAGAGCAAACACACATGGAGCTGAGTGAGCCCACCCGTGCCTTGTGACCCAGCCCAGCAGACCATCAGCCTGAAGCACAGAGCCCAGCCTGGGTCGGCCGAGCCACAATCGACCCACCTTGTTGCTGCAAGCCACCAAGCTCAGGGACAGCGCGTTACACGGCGCCACTGTGTCAAGAGCTGACTAACATGAGGATGGACTTGCCGGAAGTCTGCACCCTCCCCCTCTCCCCAGGACTCCCGAAGTCAGGCAGAGGTGGGTGAGGAGCCTCCTGATACTCCGGGGATCCAAGAGCACAGAGAACCTATGCCACCCACTTGTGGAAGAGGATGCGGGGACTGGCCAGCCCAGACGCACGAAGGGGCAGCTGTGTAAGGAACATGGGTCTGGTGTGCTGGGGAGATCCACGGAGTTTCCTCTGTGCAAGCCCCGCCATATGCACAGAAGGCTTCCCCGGAGACGTTCTGCTCTCGGGACACAGAGGCACCAGTGAGAACTGAGGACCAGGGCATAGGGCACCTGGGCACAGCCTGGCCCAGATGCCACTTGACCCCCTGCAGCTATACGGGCCCCTAAGCAACACTCCAGGGAGGGGAGCAGCCCAAACCCCTAAAAGTAGGTGCCTGCACAGGGGCTGGAAAGAGAAAGGAACTTCAGTCAGGGTTATGGCCCTTGCGCACAGACAGCAGACAGAAACTCACACCCACTGCGGACGCGAGCTTCCTCCGGCCCTGGATGAGGAGGTCAGCTTGCTCCGGTTCCGTGTGTCTCTGCTCCCACTGGGCTAAACCAGGGATGGCAAACCAGGGCCCGTGGGCCAGATCCAGCCCAGCGCCTGCTGTTGTCAATAAAGCATTATTGGGACAGCACGCCCATCTGCTCACATCCCGTGCTTGGCTACCACGGCGGGACTGAAAGATGCGAGGGAGATGGTCTGGCCTGCGAAGCTGAAAATACTTATTCTCTGGCTCTTTGCTGAAAACGCTTGTCAACCCCTGCACGGGATCGTCGCTGACTTTCCTATCCGCTCCAAACCCTAATCCCCACCTTATGAACGGGCCTCCACTACGGCAACGCAGTGAGCACCCGAGAAGGACACACACAGCATTAGCAGGACCCAAACTGGATTTACAAAAGGGACTCACCCCTCGAGTGGGCCAGGGAGCAACTGCCCACGTACCACACAATTCTTCAGACTCCCCTCCAACTAGCCAAGGGGATGTCGGGGCCTGCCCGGATCGCAAGGCATCTGTACCCACTCATGTCCTAGAAAAAGGACTTTTCCTCTTACTGCTTGCATGGCCCCCTGCCAACCCCCACCCCCACCCCACACACGTCTTACAACCCTCCCTCACCCCAGCGTCCGCGGGAGAGGCCGAAATGAGAGGGCTCCGGGCTGGAGCTCCACATGGAAAGCTGCTTGCCGGACTCCACCCAGCGCCTGGATGCCCGCAGAAATCTGATGTTTGTCTCTATTAATCACAGGCGGAATCTGCAACTTGAGCCCCGTGCACCAGAAATGAATGGAAAAAGTGCAACCTGACCACAAAAGTATTATTTTATAAATAAGGCCCTTCAGTAGTGGTTAATTGGATACACATTTTGCAAGATTTGGGGAACATTAAAACTATCATACTCAAATTGACTGGCTGGGTTCGTATTACAGTCAGTGGCCATTTTCCCTGCAATGTCAGGCCCCAGGTTGCAAATTCTATCTCAGAGACTTTATTTTTCCCTTAAGGATGTCACTTCTCCACTCCCACCCTTAAAAAAAAAAAAGAGCAAGATTGATTTAGTGTATGTTTAACAGCTCCATAAATCACTCAACATGCTCGAATCTCATCAAAATTCTGCCAGAAATGATTTTCACTAAAGCAGATGGCCTGTTTGGGAAACTAATTTGCAAGCTTTTGTCTCCACCAAATTTCAATGTGCTCCTACTGTGTGTCTGCCTACACCCAGCAGTGGAACTGAGAGGAGCTGTGTCCAACACGTGGCTCGACATCCCAGAGGAAGCGAAAATTCCAAGAGCTAGCAGGAGAAGAGGATGTTCAGGAACCCGGGAGAGCCACTACGAAGGTTGTGAGTACAGGCCATGCCCCTGTCTGTTCTGGGGCCGGTTAAAATTCACGGATTTCTCAGGGAGACAGAAGATCAAATCCAAGACAAGGATTTGGGAGGGAGCACCAGCAGGAAGGCTGGCTGCTCGGGGAGGCCAGGAACTTCATTCACATTATCTCTTTGATCCCTCGAAACGACCCCACAAGCAGGTCCTGTTATTACACCTGATTCACGGATGGGAAAATCAAGTCTCTTGGGTTTCTCAACTTTCCCATCAAAATGCTCAATACCAGATGAAAAGGAGCAATAAAATTTCTTTGAAGTTCTGGAGCTTTTTGATTTGATTTTTACACTCGGCTCTATAATCCATCTCAGTTTGTTTTGATATAAAAGTGATGTTTTTAGTTGTCTATCAGTTGTCTATCGGAAATTCCACAAACTTTCCTCCCAAAAAACCTTCTAATAAAATAAATTTTCCCAGAGGATGTATCTCGTTTCCTCTGGGGCTTCTCCAACTCCTTCACCCACTGACTGGTACCCAGAGGCTGAGCAGGCTCCAGCGTAAGCTCAGCCAGGGAGCAGATCTTGTAAACGGGAGGCCTCTGGTCCTCTGTCTGTTTTTGTTTGGCCTGTGTAGTGTTTTTAAGTTTTTACCAAAAAAATCCAGACTTTCAGGTCCTCATGAAATATGGGCCCCAAATAGCCATCATGTGGCTCTGCGTAATGGCAGCCCCTTCAGGTGGGGCATGAGTTCTGTAGTTTGCCACAGTCCCCACCACTCCCTAATGTCTTATACCTAAACTATGTCACGGGCTTATATACTCATTTGGATCCTAGAGGCATTGAGTATGTGTCCTTGTCTTGGAACTATTGGTATTTGGGGTACAAAATGCTGAAAAGCCATGGAGCCCTCCCTGGTAAGACAGAGAGGGCCACAACAACAAGAAAGAAAAAGTTCATTCACAAAAGAGCCGGCAGAGCCACGGAGGGAGGAAAAAGCCCCAACAGTGCTCAATGAAGCCTTTTTATTTTCCACTCTACCTCTGATGTTGCTCAAAGTGATGGATTAGAAAAGCTCATTTCCTTTGGTTGAAAAAAAAAAAAAAAGAACAGAATGCAAAAGAAAAAGCCAGTGTTCAATAAAACGTGGAGGGATGACGCAACGGTGCCGGGAACCTCGGGCGGAGCTGTTAATTGCTTCCTCCCCGGCCGCTGGTGAGCCCCTCTCCCCTCTCCCCTCTCTCTGGACTTGGACGTGTTTGTCAAAGAAAGTATCGAGCCTCCATAACTCTCTGAAATGATACAATACATCACTTGAAAGTAAGCTGGGATCAACACGTTGTTAACTGTTTGATCTGGCGAGTCAGAATTAATGATAGGTATTTTGCACAAAGAGAAAAAAATGAATGTTAAAAGCCTATTTACGTTAACTAAAGACATCCCTGCCGCATCGGGCTGAGTTGGAGGCGATTTCCTGCGGCACAGCTGGTCCATGTTTGTTAGTCTGCGGGTGGGTGGCAGCAACCGGTAATCAGAGCCAGATTGAGGGTGCGGGAGCCCAAATGATGGGGAGACAGGAAGCTGCAAATAGAAAACCCCAGTGACTGACTGGAAAAAGGGGATCCCGGGTTAGAGTTCAGAGCAAACTCCTTCAGAGCTTTGGGGAGAGTTGGGGATCAGTTTCTTCATCTGAAAAATGGGCTTCATTCTGAAAATACTATGCTTAAAGAGGCTGGGCACGGGGCATCCAGTGGGGAAGAGACCAGGTCCCTACCTTCATAGATGTTACATTCTCAACAAAAACACTTTAACCAATAAGGGGACAATAGATTAACAAATAAGAAAATTCCAGGCCATGATGATACTATGAAGAGAACAGGGTGAGATGTACCCAAAAGGGACCAAGATGGTTGGTCAGGGAAGGCCTCTTGGAAGAGGTGACACTAGAGTTGAGCCCTGAATGAAGTGAGGATGGAGTGAGCCAGGCAAATACTCCAGGGCCAAATGTTCCAGCAGAGGCCGAAGCCCATGCAAAGGCCCTGAGGTAGGACTAGGCTTCAGGGTGTTCAGCTACAGCAAGGTGGCCCACGTGCTGGAACTAAGGGAGGGAGGAGAATGACAGAAGAGGCTAGAGAAACAGGGACAACAATGCGTAAGGCTCTGGAGCAAAGAGTCTGGTTGTTGTGCTGAGAGGGAAGGCTCCGTTAGAAGTGTCTGAATGGGACAGGAAGGAGATTGATCTTCATTTAAAGAATCTCCCTGGCTCCAACTGCAGAACAGATTGTGGGGGTGGGGGCTGTGGAGCCCGGGAGAGGGGGCAGAAGCTGTTGGAGCTGTCCAGGCCGGGAGGAGGACTAAGGGCCCATCCAGGGCCGGCACACCCTAAGCCCAGCTGGAACCAGTGAGGCAAGCCAAGCCCTCACCACACGTGCAAATTCTAAGGTTGGAGAGGGAGATGCTGAAAATCTCCGGAGTCAAGATGAATAGACCCGATCCGTCTTACTGATTTTTCCTTTGGCCTTAGGTTCCAGTACAGTCAGCACAGCACTGTGACTGATCCTGTCTGTATTTTAGAGTTTTGGTATGTTAGCCACCACAGATTGTTTTTACATTACCTTTGGTTTCTTAAAACATTGCACTGAAATCCGGGTGATCTGGATGACTGAGGTTTTGGCGCCCCCGTGCATTTTGCCCCCCACCCTAATTCCACCCCAGACAGAGCAGTCAGCAAATGTGAGCAATCGCTGTCATCACTGTCCTTCTTTGCCGTACAATATGAAAAAGCTTACCTGGCCACCAGGGGCAGACAGGTGCAAGGTGCAAGGTGGCTTCTGGAACCTTCCCATTCTCCCCAGCCCACCCAGGTTTACTGAAGTGGAGAAGAGCGAAACCTTTACAGCCACCTTCTCAGGAGTCTCGGGGCTGTGGCAACAGGACCCACCTCCCGGCCCAGGCGGAGGGGAGACGTGGGCGTGGGAACCTCTGCATCTCCGGGAACCTGAGCGGAAGCTGGCACCGCACGGGCCACACGTGACTATCACCTGGGGAGTGTCAGGTTGTTCAGATGCTCGGGCCCCACCCCAGACCAGCCCTGACAACCTCCGGGATGCGGCCCCGTGCCCCCTGGCAGGTCCAACTGTCAACCTGGCTGAGAACCCGTCTGCAGCCAGGCCTCGGTGAGCATGTCTGTGGACCTCCACGCTCCTACTTCCATTGGTGGGTGACTTCGTGGCAGCCTGGCCTGCTGGGCCCGCCTGGGCTCCAGGGTACAGCCGGGAGAAGACAGACACCCAGGACGGCCCCTGGGGACGTTCCCACCCTCAGCCCGGCACACCTGGGTCTCCCCGCGCGAACGCCGCAGACGGCGCCTCTGATTGGTCCGCGTAGGTCACGTGGCAGCCCTGAGCCAATCAGCGGCCTTGGCCCGGCGGGCTCTGCGGCACCAGCATGGCGGCCCCCAGCCACCCTCGTGGTCGCAGTGCTTCTCTGGAAAGCGGTGTGGACTCCGGATGGCTGGGGTTACAACAATGTCCCCTGCTTCTGGGGAGCTGGAGATGAGGGCTGAGAGAAGGCTGGGGAGTCCCCTGAAGCCCTGTCCGCAGGGCAAGGGCCCTCCAAGAAGCTCCGAGCAGCCCCCGCAGCCGTCTTCCTGGAGGAGCACGCGCCCCTTCCTGCCTCGGACCGCGTCGGGGCCTCCGGAGCACCCGGGGATGTTTCGGGTTCATCGAATTTGCTCTGTCCGCCCGAACAAACGAGGGGCTTCCTGGAGAGCCGGGGACCTTCAGGGAAGACCTCCAGGCCGGCCCAGCTCCCTGTGCGGAGGTGAGTTTCCAGGCCCCAGGTAGCCCTGCGTGGAGGGCGGTCGCCGGTGTCCCCGCCCACGGCAGAAATTCCATCACAGCCCCTCCCTGTGGCGGGAAAGTTGGGGTGAGGGGCGGTGGCAGAGCAGGACAGGAAGCAGCCAGTCTCCTTCCCAATGTTCCAGATCGTGCTGTCATCACATAGTGGTTCGAGTTAATCACAGTCATATCGTACATGTATAATATAATAAATATTAAAAATATATATTACTGACAATAATAAAATATATAATATAAAAATGGTTTTTTTATATTGCAAAGGATTTTCTCTTGTATGAGTTTATTTCCATGTTTCACAAAGGCTGTGATGAACACCCTGGTGGCACTGACATGGTTTAGGTAGGACACAGACAACTTTTTTTATTTAACCTATTTACTTTTAATTATATTGGAAAAAATATAGCAAGCACCTCGAACACATGACTTAGAGATAATCGCTTAAGTGGAAGCTAAAGTGGGTATTTAAATGAGAAAGTAAGAGGAGGGAGTGGGGTTGATTTATACAAAATGTTGAATAATAATAATATAGGTATTTTATGGGTACAAGTAAAAATCCTGGAGGTGAGGGACTGAAATTTGGGGAACACTTGCTCAGTTTTTGGCCATTTATTCTGGAGAATCCATTTGATGTGTGCCATTGTCTCCAGGTGACGGGTGATGAAATGGAGGGAGAGCAACGAGAAATATATCTCAAGTCACACATATGGTGATGAAGAGCCAGGCCAGAATGCTGGATTTTTTAAACTCTTGGTTCAAAAGTCTTGTCATCGCCACCAAGCTGAGCAGTCATCTGTCACCCTAAAATGTGATTTTTCCAAATTCACCCCAATATGGTGTTTCTCAAGACTTCTCTGGAAGCAGAGAAAATACGAGAAAAAATGTTGATTTTCACTTTGTCCTCATTTTTCCTTCTATAGCAGGGGTTCTAAGCAGGGGGGTATTTGGCTCCCAGGGGACATTTGGCAATGTCTGGAGACACTTTTGGTTGTCACCAATGGAGGTGGGGGTGGGGTGGGCATGTGGTGGGTGGAGGCCAGGGATGCTACTTACCATCCTACAATGCACAGGACGCCCCCACAACAAAGAAGGATCCAGCCTCAGATGTCAGTAGTGCCAGAGTGGAGAACCCTGCTCCATAAGATGACCCATCTCACTCACAAAATTAAATCTCAGACTGAAGGATCAGAAATCTGCTTCGGCAGCCTAGGGTTCCCTGGTTCGGGTCCCAGGTGTGGACCTACACACTGCTCATCAAGCCATCCTGTGGCAGGTGTCCCACATATAAAGTAGAGGAAGGTGGGCACGGATGTTAGCTCAGGGCCAGTCTTCCCCAGCAAAAAGAGGAGGATTGGCAGCAGATGATAGCTCAGGGCGAATCTTCCTCAAAAAAAACACAAAATTCTGCCTGTCTGTTGCAGTCTTGAAGTTTGCCCAGAAATTAAGATTTTGTTGGCTAAAAAAATAGGGCGTGTTTTCTCAGGAATAGCTATCAGATAGTGATGTCTTTAATAAGAGCTAACATTTACAGAGCCCATATGTTGTGCCAGACGCTGGCCCAACGACTTTGCCTGTAATCCTCACAGCCACTCCATCAGGTGGGTACAGAAAAGGAAACTGAGGCACAGAGAGCTGAAGCCACTTGCTTGAGGCTCCACAGCCCAGACCCCAGAGGCAGGATGTGTCCCCAGGCGTCCGGTTCTGAGCCTGCGCTCTCCACTCACTGTTATTCACAACAGTGTGGAGCCTAAATTGTAAGATTTTATGTTTTCTATGGGACACACTTTAATGATTTTCCTTATTAAATGGGAAAAAAATGCCACGCATAAGACTTGTATTTTCTTGAGCTGGGCTTTAGGAAGAAAGAGGATACAACACTGTTCTGGGTTATTCCACGTTACTGCAGCTTCTTCCCCTGCAATTTCCCTGTTTGGCCTGAATTTCCCTTGAGTCCTCGAGTGCCGTGTAATCTAGATTGGAGGAGTTCATGAGAGGGTTTCTGTCCGCCTTCCCAGGCCCAGGACAGCTCGTCGGCTTGTTGGAGCGAGAGTTTCAGGCTGGACGGCGTGAACGGGGGCGGGGCTAGACTGTGCAGGTCTTCACGTCCATTTCCAGGGAGCCGGGTTCAGCTGGTTCCGATCACCTGCCGGTCACTGTGCGAATACATCGCACGTGTTATTTCATCTTCGACCCAACTCTTTGGGCGTAGAGATTGTTTGTGTTTTTTATTGAGGTAAAATATGAATTTTTGTTACATGAATAAAAAATTCAAAACTTTAACCATTTTAACGTGTGCAATCCGGTAGCGTCTAATGCATTCACGGCTTTGTGAGAACATGACCACTAATTCCACGCCATCTTCCTCACTCCAAACAGAAACCTCCTCTCCATTAAGCACCCACTCCCCCTTTCCCCTCCCCCAGGCCCTGGCAACCACTAATCTTCCCGGCTTGATGGATTTGCCGGTTTAGGACATTTCCTATAAATAGAATCGCACAAGGTATGGCCGTTTGTGTCTGGCTTCTTTCACTCAGCATCTTGTTTTCAAGGTTCATCCGTGTTGTAGCAGGCATCAATACTTCCCTCTTTTTTGTGGCTGAATAATATTCCATTATACGGGCACACCACATTTTGTTTCTCCGTTCATCTGTTGGTGGGTGTTGGGGTTGTTGTCACTGTTTGGCTCTTGTAACAGCGCTGCGATGGACACTCGTGTACAAGCTTTTGTGTGTACACTTGCTCTCAGTTCTCTTGCATTTATTATTTATGAGTAGGATTTCTGGGTCACATGGTGACTCTGTGTAAGATATTCTTATACAGCTGAGGAATCCGAGTCCCGGTGTCAACTGGCTGGGATCACGCAGTAGTAAGCGTTAGAGCTCGGGCTCGAACCCAGACCCCTGTGTCCCCTGCTGGCCATGAATGAGGCTTGGGAGAAAATGCTGATGGATCATATGACACAAACCCTTGTTTATTTATTTTAACTTTTATATTATTTTCTTGGTTTAATTTTCTTTCATTATAAAAGTAATGTGTGCTCATTGCAGCGTGCCAGATGATCTTTAAAAGCAAGTATATTAAAATGTACACGATTAATGGTCCACATGCTTTAAGCGGTTCTTACTTTTGAGGTTATTTTCCTCAGCAGTAAGTGCAGCGATGGCACAACATGCCGACAGCGCGATGCTCAGGTTTTAGTCACTTTAACTTTGGGAAGGAGGGACAGGTCCTCAGCGGCCAAGGGCTCCACTGTTCCCACCAACGGGAGTGAGGGGCTTCAGAGGCCCTGAGCTGAGCCATCTCGGGAAGCTTCTGTGCTCTCCGCAGCCACTGAGGCTTGGCCGGCAGCAATGGGACCCGGAGCCAACAGCATCAGCTCCCGGGTTAGGGCAGCACCGTCTGACCTATGTCTGATTCCCAGGAAAACTGCTGTTTTTCCCTCCCATTTTTTAGATGAGGAAACTGAGGCTTCGACAGGTGAAGTGACTTCCCAGGTAGCAAGGAAGCGGCTGGTCTGGGCGTCCAGTCCAGCTTCTCTGACCTTGCAGCCAGAGAGGTTTATTTACTGTACACTCTCTGCCTCTACGTTCTGTCGCGATCCTACAAGCGGAGCCTTCCTTGTCCCCAGTTTGTAGACAGGGAAACTGCGGCTCAGAGACGGGGAGAGATCCAGCCGACATCACCTGGCTACAGATGGAGCCGGGCTGGAACTCAGACGTCAGGTCCGAGGCCCTTTGCCTACAAGAAGCCGTTCGCCAGCAATGCTGGTGTTGATGAAATGCGTTTCTTTTTGGCTTTCCAGCCGGATGCTTAAGGCTTCCAGGCTCCCACCCTGGTTAGCTGGCTGGGCTCTGTAACTTACACACAGGCCTTGGCTTCAAATCCCTCCTCTGGGCTAGTTGCTTAAGGAGAAGTTAAATGAAATAAATTAAGGCATATCTATTCCGTGGAGAAATAATAAAGAAATAGCCAACTCGTCCAAAGAGGTTATTTTGTGCCAGAAACTGGATAAAACACTTTCTATGTATTAATTCTCACAACAGCCCTTCGATCAAGGTACTGTTTTTGTTTCCATTTCACAGATGTG